TTCTTTAAAATATGAATGTTAATGTGCACCAAGATTTGACCTCAGACCCACCTCTCAAATCCATTTCCAAATTATCAGCGGATTAACCCATAACATTGTAGTAAACACTCAAATTCAAGTGTCAAACCATTTGTCCCCTCCAAGTTCAGTATTCAGAGGTGAGGTCAAATTGAATTTTTGACTGTGAATATTGATGGATTTTTTGAAATCTTCTAACAACGATGGGGGTGGCGGGCTGGTTTACATTGAGTGCTCAGGAGCGGCATAGCCAATAAGGTCATGGCAGGGCCAGGCCAGGGTGCACGGAGGGGGGGGTTTCACTGAGGCAACAGCCAACGCCCTGGCTTTGGGGAGGGAACACATTGAGGGGGTCACACACACATACACACCCACCCCATCTAGTGTGGCCCAGTCAGGGTTTTCATACTTCAGATTATAGAGCAAGTCATGAAATCAATTTTTGGGTAAAAGCATGCTTTTCAAAATGACATGGAATAGAAAGTGACATAGCCAACAGTTTTTCACAAATATCAGTGTGTGAACTGCATGAAATAAAGGAAGTATCATTTCATAGGGCTTGTTTCTGGCATGTGTGTGTGGCCGGTGCAGCAGGGAGAGGTCACTGCGCAAAATCGGCTGGAGCTGCGTGAGCCCATGGTGGGTAATCACACCTCTTCCCAGCACTATTCAGTGGCCTCTGCCTGATGCCTTGAAACCAACCAAGATAAAAGTTTTCACACTATGGAAAAAAACAAATAGGGCTTTTAGAAAATAGAGCTTCCCTCCCAAGAGGACGAGCTGTTAAACATTTACGAGCACACCACGGGCTATGGTCCAACAGCAGACAAAGGAAACTTAAAGACATTACCTGCCTGAATTATTGGAGGATCTGAAATGTGTGTCTAGATAAATCAGTTTTAAATCTTTTGTGGGGCAGAGGGAATCAAGAAGGAAACAAGTGTTTGAAGGAGGCTGTGACCCGCTGGATTGAATGCTGCCTTGGAAATTCAGAGACTCTCAAACAGAAACTCAAATTGTTCTGTCTGCGGAGATGACATCAAGGTTTCTGTGGGTGGTGGGTTTTGTCTGCCTCTTAGATTTGATAAAGACCTTTTACAAGGCAGGGATGTTGCTGTGGCCTGAATGTCTGAGTGCCCCCAAAATTAATATGTTGAAATCCTAACCCCCAAAGATGATGGAATTAGGAGGTAGGGCCTTTGGGAGGTGATGAGGTCTGGAGGGTGGAGCCTGAATGATGGGATCGGTGCCTTTATAACACAGACTCCACCGCGCTCTCCTGGTCCTTCCTCCACGTGAGGATCCAGTGAGAGGCCCCCAGCTGTGAGCCAGGAAGAGGCCCCACCAGCACCCTACCATGCTGGCACCTTCTTCTCAGACTTCCAGCCTCAGGAGCTGTGAGAAACCAATTTCTCACACAATGCCTGGCTGATGCACTTTGTAATAGCCCAAGTGGACCAGGGTGGATATACATTCATTGGGTCCAAAGCCTGCACTCCAGTGTTCAGGCCGAGCAAGGCAGAGAAGATGCTGCATTCCTGCAAAGCAGACATATCTGGACGACTCGTCTCACTTGTCGGTGGAGAAGTGGGCCAGTTCTCAGAGCTCCAGGCTAAGAATGATGGGGCACGGTGCCGGGGGCTCCTGACTGGTTTTGCTAAGCGGCAAATTTGCATTTGCCCATTTACTGCAGGGGTTTTAATTATAGATAGCAGAGTGCCTTGTGGGAGAAGTGCTTTAGAATTATTAATAATTTACAGCAACAGAGCAAAGGACTAGTGAGTCTCAGATCACAGCCCTTTGTCTAGAGTCCTGGCCCTCCACGCATGCTCTCCCTTCCCCAGCTGCCAATTTCTCTGAGGACTTTGGGTTCTTTGCCCTGCTGGGCAAACTGACTCCCTGGCTGCAGATGCAGCTCCCAAATGGGCCTATGGGGCTTTGGGGTGGTCTAGTTGGGGTAGGGGGTCCTCGGGCCTTGCCTTGGACTTGTTTGCCTAGCAAGCATCCTGTCCTCAGGTGGGTTTATTAACTAGCTTGGAAAAAGGGAGGAGGAGCGCCTGGACACTGGAACACTATGGCTCCTGCAGGCGTGCCTTCCACCATCGCCGTGGGCCTGCTCGCCTCACCCGGCTCCAAATCACGGTCGGTTCCCTAATCCTGATGAGTCAAGTTACGGTCATCTAATTCCTCATCAGACAGGCATGACACACGCTGGTGTGTTTCCGAAGTTGTCACTCTTAAAAATTAACACACACACACACACACACCCCTCTGGATTTGTGGCTTCTCTTGGAAAGAGGTTAACACGGGGGCCTACATTTCTGAATGCAGAAACCTGCTGCACCCTTTCAGCTGCTCCACAGTCTCCAACTTCCCCTGCAGTCTTCCAACCCAGAGTCTCTGGGACAAGTTTCCTTGCAGTGAAATTAGGAGGAAAGACACAGCTCTTTAAATTCACTGCTCTTTCAAAAGTAGGCAAACAAAGGTTAGAGAGAAAGTGGTGTGTTCTGGAAACAAATAGTAGAAAAGATATCTTTCTTCTGGGATGTGAAAAATATTCTTAATTATTTAATTAAGGAATAAATTTAATTAAGAAAAAATAAACAAACAGCAGCATCTCTCCTAAAAGACCACAATTAAAGAAACCTTATGACAAAGGGGCATATGTGTCCCTCACCTGTGGGCGACTGGGCTAAAGACAAAGCTTCTAGATAAACTCAGGAAAGCTTGCATGTTCCAGGGCTCCACTTCCTCAGACCAGATGCCCTGGAAGAGCGTTTCTGTCACACATGTAGGGCTATAGCTGTGTTCCCAAGTTTACACCATGCTGGAGGTTTCCTTAAGGGAAACATGATATGGAAAAAGTCAAATGGAGCTATGGGATTGTTAGACAGAAAGACAGATTATGAGCAGGAAGAAAAGGGGGTGAGGCCCACCAAGAACTCAGGGAGTTAATCAGGTGAAGCCAGAAAGCCAGAAAGGACTTGGAGAGTTAATGCCCTTTGCAATGTGAGCTCATTCCACACGCTCTGAATCTGAGCTGACCTTGAGACTTGCTTTAGCTTATGCAGGTGATACAGGGCAGAGACATGGGACAAGCACTGTGATTAATTTTCCTAAGAATGATGAGATATAAGCAGTATAGTAAGAACAGGAGGGACTCCAGCTTAAGGCTAAGATTCCATTTTAAAAGCAGAGTGGAGAGGTTAGATTCCTAACATACTCTTTGGTAATCAGCTACAACCCATTGTAAGGCTACGCAAGCAGTCTTAACTGATATGCTCCCAGTGCTTGGGGGTAGCCACTATCTTGGAGAAGAACAGAAGTTTGTCTGTGGTGGCCTTATTATGGATAATTACATGTTGCCTCTCACGGGAGATAGACATCATGAGACCACATGACAAGCCTACACCCCCTAAGCGTTTACCTTTATCCCATTCTTGAAAGCCTTAAAAGACAGAATCCTAAGCCCTTAAGCATGACTCCTCTCTGAGGTTGCCCACACTCCCCTTTCTTGGAGTGTGTATTTTTAAAAGACTTCTTACTGCTCAACTTACTATGTTCTGTCTCTGTCTCTTCTAGTGGTGTCTTGGTCACTTTGCTATTTCATTCTATTTTCCCGGCTTTAAGCACAAGTCTTCACCCTCTCTATCCTACTCCAGATAAGTAGGGAGGGGCTACTGAGAGCTTTGACTTGGGCCTGCAGGTTCTGGCCAATGAGCTTCCCCTCCCTCTGGCTTTATTCAAGTAAACGTACCCTTGTCTCCTCTGACTCTGGCCCGCTCCTCCCTCAGAATGCATTCAAATAAACTTGTGCTCCACCTCACTACTGCGTCTCTGCCCTTCAGTTCCTTGCAGTGGTGGGGACAGGAACCGAGGGGAGCAAGCTCAGCCCTTCAACAGGATCATCTGCAGTTCGGCGTTCGTGAGTTGTTTTCCTCCACCAAGTGTCCCTGTTGGTCCATCATCCACCGTGCACACTAATGAATTGTTTTCCAGCCTTTGGCTGTGTGTGCTTCCTTTCACATTTTGTTATACTCACGTACCCTCTGGACTATTCCTTATTTAATACTTTTAGTGACGTCAGTTCACAAAATCTTAAAGGCAATTTTCCTAGATGGGAAGTCTAGGAAATAGACCAGAAGTAGAACACAACTGTAAAAGTGGGAACAATGAGAAAGGAAGCGTGGACTCAATTCTTGCTAGTGGCGCTGGCAGCCCACACCTGGCAGCCGGAGGCCTTCTCTCCTGATGAGCGAGGCTTTCCGCCTCAAACTAAAATGCTTCTGTTACTAATGCCCTTCAAACAGAAGGAGGAGAAGAGAATTAAAATAATAATAGCAAACAGCTTTGCCTCTATGGGACTTCACATTAAGTAGCAGAGTGTTGAACTGAGTATGCTCTTGACCTGTATTTGTTGAGGAGATAAGAAAACATCCCAAAGCCCCTGAAACCAGAGGCAGAATCCCCAGAATTCCCCTGGCCTTCATTCCCAAGGCAGCAGCCATGGCCTGGTGTGAACATCTCTCCACGCAGACTGTGTTACATGCTTACGGATACTTATTCCCATACCACCTGGCTCCTAAAGCAAGCCATTTATTTAATCTGGTGCTCAGTGGAAGAAAAAGCTCTGCGTTTGCTTGCTGAGTGGCTTAAGCAAGCGTTAAGACAGTTTGGACCACGTCTAATGCACACCTTCAGCACTGAATTAAACCAGCTTTTGCTTTCTATGACTGCATATGACTCCTGTGTATTTCCATAACAATCTGTCACCCTCTGTGGCCTAAATAAATTGTATAGATTTATAAAGTCTATAACCTTTACCCTTAGTGTGGTTTTTGTTTTTAAAAAGGCAAACAGACTTGATTTACTTAAAAAGGAAAATAAAAGAGCTCAGTCAGAAGAGTACTGTAAATTAATGTTAGAAAATACATAAAAAGCATGGAAAACAAATGAGATGAAGGTTTACGGCACATACTTACCTCTGGACCCACAATTACCATGTAAACATTTGGCTCTTCTTGATGCCATTCTTGAGAAGAGAAAAGAGAAAGAAAAACATTTTTAAAAATACATCACAGTTGAAAACATAATTAAGTTTAATATTAATTACACAAGAATATAAATTATTTTATATCATCTTGCTTTCATTCACATTTATCAGCAAATATTTAAGATGTAAATATCAAATATTTTGTTTTTAAGTAAAATATTGTTTTCTAGAATGTTATGCTTTATTGGGATATCGAATTCACTAGAGAATTAGGACTAACATGACTCCACAAGTCAACAGGGACCTAAGGATAGGCTGCCAAGCACACGGAGTTCTGTCAGCAGTGCAGTGAAACTTGAAATGCACTACACAGTGCATTGAAATTGACGTGTCAATTATTTTCAGATAAAGTTTATGTTGGCCATACAATTATTTCCTACTTCTGTGATGTCCTGATGTTTTTACAGGAAAGTAAAAAACAGCTGAAATTACTGCATGGTACTGTTATATTTCTGGCTGTTTCCAAAGTCATAACTGAGGAGCAGTACTGCTCATGTGCAAAGAACGAGGTAAGGCAGGACCCAGAGGAGTTCTGCAAACAGAGGGCAACTTCAGGACACACCTGAGAAGGCATCCACCAAATAGAGAGGGTCTTTAACTTGCCGAAGTCCACATATCAGGAGAAACACGTGTAAATTATCTGCATTTCGGTTAATCTCTGCAAGAGAAGAGTTCAGGATATTTTTAACGGAGAGGACTTGGCTTGACCACCTGGCAACATGCATCCCACAGACATGCACAGAAGCTGCACACTCTGACCTCTTCTTCCCTGGGGGAGAAACACTAGACTGAGCTCAGGCCAGGGAATGTAAATCCATCTCGTGTGCAACAAGGAAGGGCAGGGCAAGAGCGGACTGACTCAGCTGAAATGTGAGCCTCAGGTCCTAGAAAACATGTAGATGCTGTGCTAGGTGGGAAGAGTATTTTCTTCGTGAAACTAGAACGATGTTGCATATATCCATGTACTCTGGAGTCCATATGTGTATACTGGCACACACCTTTAGTACACACATGCCCTGGGATCCCAGGGTTTGGGTTTGCCATGTTGCAAGCTGTCAGGTGAGACTGGCTGTGGTAGGTGGGCACATGCTTTGCAGTTCCTCTCTGCACCTCTGGGCTGGCCTGGCGATCCCTGTTGACCAAAAGAGCACTGTGGAAGAACAGCGAGTGACTTTCAGGTCTTGGCTGCAGGAAGCCTCGTGTTGTCCACCTTTACCCACTGGACCACAGCTGCCTTGTTATCAGGCCCCGGCCACCTCCTTGAGAAAGAGACAGACCCGGCCATCCTGTCTGCAGGAAGCCACACAGGACCATTCAGGTCGTGAGCCCAGCAGACAGGTGGAGCCGTCCCACCAAGCCTCGTGTAAACTGCCAACCTGGGGCACAATCATGAGATAGTCCATAGCTGTTGCTTCACGTCACTGTACATTGGTCTGCTACGCAGCAATACATCATTGATTCAATAGAAATCACCAATATAATTAACACAAGCTAACCCAAAATGTCATCATTTCCAAAGTTATATAATTGGACATAAAATCATGCAAGTAAAAGGTGTCCACTCAGTCATTTCATTCATCCATTACTTAATGCAAACAATTTTATTTTCTCTGTGCTTCTGTAAGCCTTGAAGAGTAATATAATTGGGATAAATGCAATTCGGTACATTGACACCACTTTAACATAGCCACAAAGGCCAACTGATAATAGTAATAATCATGCACAACCAGCTCTGGAGAAAATCTTCCCTGAAATGTTAAGGTTGGAATGTCTCTCTTGGAAAACCCTTAAAAAATTATCACTGTCTCTAAATTAATTTGGCCATTTCATTGAGATGCATTGAGCTTTTTAAATATTTCCCCAATAGTCTGAATATCCTGAAACTAGAATCCTTAGAAATAAAAACCTTAGCGAATACCTGTTTGACCAAAAATTTAAGCTAGAAGCAATGTGCAGAATTTGAATTTGAGATCAGGAGAACTTGAAGCCAGGCATCTGAATTCAAGGCTAGGAGGCAAGCTATTCTCTTTAAGTGACAGATGCCAAAGAATACCTTTAAGGATGGGGAATCAGGAGTCAACCTACATTATGGGCAAGAGCCATCAGTGAATCTCAAAAGCTGTGAATAAAGTTTGAGGAGGAAAGAAGTTAAAAGTGTCTTCTCAAAAATTACTTATTAGCTGCAAAGGAAGTATAACACTTGCACATGGGGACCCCCACTTAACGAAGGGAGGAAACCTCCGCCCAGGCATGTGGCTTTGTGTTTACACACACACACACACACACACACACACACACACACACACACACACACACACATACACACAGTTCACATACAGTTAAAAAAAAATAGCCTTACTACCTACAAAGCATTCTGCTGTTTTCTATTTCATTTCAATTTTGTAAAGTGCTCATCCCAAATTACTAAACTGATTTTGAGATCCCGATCCTACCGCAGCCTAGAGGGAGACAGGGTTAACCCTGTATTTCTTGCCTCTCTCCTCATCTTCCTGGATTGGAAATTAAATGTGATGGGAATTTAGGAAACTACATTAGATAATGAGGGAACAAAGGACTAAATGCTTTGTCTTACTCTAAGACTGAAACAAATTTTTTTAGTGAGGTGCAGAGACAGCATTTGAGTTTAAGGAGTTTATGTGCACTTCTCACATGCAGCAATATCATTTCTAAGGAAATAAAGATTGTGGTTGAAAAATCGTGATCAAACAGCAAGTGCTGAAGCCCACACCCACCCTCACCCCAGAGGCATCCACTCATCAATTACATTTCAGGGCCCCCGTGGCCTTGGCCAGGCTTAGTGAAATGGACCATGTTCATCCATAGATTTTAAAACAGAACTAAAACAGACTGGCCTGTGGAGGTTGGGAGGTGAAATGGGCACCAACCTAATATTTTAATGTTTTTTTAAGCCAAAACTTTTCTCTTTGTTTTTCTGCTAATATCCAGATGTAACACGAGCCAAGGTTTGAACTCATCCTTTACAAATGCACACCTGTACGTGTCTTTCCAATACTACCATTTCCTGGGGAATGGTATTTTTATCTTCAAAACAAAATGTGTCGCTCTCATTGTCTGGCACCATATCAGTCCCAGCAGGCTAAGCACTGCATTGCCTGATTCTCTAAGTGACTCAGCGGCTGGCTCCAGAACAGAAACCCAATCCACATTAGTCACTTTCTCTCCAGTTTTCTTTCCTAACTGCTCTGTTTATTTTTCTTCACATATTATTAGAATTGAATCTGATATATCTGATCTGGGGACTGTAAAAATATTAAGAAATCTAGGAACTAATTTTTCATGTGAAAAACAAGTGGGTTTTCCTTGGCATAGCTAAGAAAGAAGAAAAATACTACCATCTGAGGGAGGCATATTAGAGTCTCTGTGCAGAAGCTTAAATAGAGTTTTTAAAAAGAGACAGAGAAAGAGAGAAAATAAATAAACAGTAGAAATAAAATAAAATGGAAAACTGAAAAACAGCAAGGTGTGGCCTGGTCACATTTACGTTTTGGGGTTTGATGCCTACAAGGGACAAGCACTTCAGGTGGGCTGGTCACTGGCACTTCAAAGTAAAAAATCACGGATCACTGAATCACAGCAACATTTCAGATGTAGACAGAAACGCAGAGAAAAACTCAAAGGCGACTAGCTTCATGTCTGTATGTCTATCTTCTGATTAGAAAGTATCATATGAGAATTATAACAACACCACTGAGTGCTTTAAACCTACTTGTTTTCCTGGTCAGTCTGTTGGAATATGGGATCTGCTTAGCATGAAAACAGCTTAGTGTTTTTAACTAAGGAGACTTTGTAATTTGTTAGCAGGGCTTAAAGGCATAACTGAATAGTCTCAGAAAAACCTGTGACATACTGTCAAGGAGAACACATCACAAACTGACCTCAGACATTTAAGAAGCAGACTGTAAATCCTGGTGACTCACCAGCTACTGGCCTTTTGGAGTGTTAAACAACGCCCTTCCCAGCTCATCCCCTTGATTTTGAGCTTCATAGTTCATAAGAATGCAGAAGCCAGTATTTGACCATAATAGTCTACATCAAATTCACCAGATCTGCTGTTTGCATTGTCTGGAGCTCAGAAGACAAGTGACAAGTCACAACCACAGGTTTCGAAGCCCTAGAGGCCAGGTTAAGACAGAGGATGGGTAAGGAAGATGGTCCATCTCTAGAGTCTGAAATACGACAAAGATGAACAACCTCACAAATGATAACAGAAGCCTGATCATAAAAGCCAGAGACGCCAATTAATTCTACAACTACACTTAAGCCATCACCCAGTGGAGTCAGCTACCATCATCGCACCCGGAGCTCCCCAGGCCCATATATTCTGATACGTTTACAACTTCTAATTGCACACATCAAGATTAAACTGCAGCCAAGTGGGTCTCCAGAGGAAATGTTTTCTAGGGAGTATGTTAAATCTCTTAGCTGTCCTGTTAATCACTCAACAGCAAGACCAATGAAACAGTCAACCCGAGACAACCAAACTGGATGACAAATCAATCTCCTTTTGGAAATTATGAATCGTAGTTCCACCGCAACTGTGTCCTGTGATATATGGAATATGAAATAACCTTACAACAGGCAATTTAAAACGGAACTGCTGGTTCTGAATAATGGCACACACTTCCTGACACGATCAAGCAATCAGATAGTGTGGGTTCATTTGTAATGTGGAGAACAGCCCGGCTGTTGTTGCTGAGACTGATGAATACACTTCGAAAATTATTTCTAATAAAATGCTTGGGAATTTTTTTCTTCTCAAGGGAACCTAATGCTGACATTCAGTATGTGGTGGAGGTTTTGCTCTAAATTTCTGGAGTGAAAACAGGTTTGGGGTGTCTCCATGTTTGCTGAGAGCAAGGCATTGGTTTTGTACTTCAGGTTAAAACAGATACATTCTTAGGTTTATACTGCATGTGGTGAACCAATTTTAGCTATTCTAGCACCTTTACCAGGATTACTGGGTTGGTCACCTTGTAAGGCAGGTATAATCCCAACACTATGTACTTTTGAGCCTCATTTGTGGACAAGCGAACTTTCTACGTCTAAACATCATGAGTACCATACCATACACAAAAACACAAAGGCAAGACTGTCTTAGCTGCACCCCATGTTAGGAGATGGTGCCTTCATAGCATCATTGATGGAGCATTGATGCTGCCTCTCCAAGGGACCATCAGGTAGGATGTTCAAATGCTCTGATAAGGTATATAATCTAATCCCGCAATTCTATTTTTAGGAACTGGTCCTAAGAAAACAATTGGACAAATACATGAAGACTGAACTCCTAGCACCTTTATCACTGCACATCAGAGAGTTTAAAAAATCTAAATGCCCAACAAAAGGATGGGTCAAATAAGTTCACAGAACTCAAAATAATACTATAAAGTGTTTAAAACTCATGATGCAATCATAACTTATAAAGAAACTTACAAGATTTTGGGTACAATGTCAATGTACAAAAACCACTGTACTGCTATACATTAGCAAAAAGACAATTTAAAATGAAATTTAAAAAATCTTTTATAGTAGCATCAAACATAAAATACCTAAGAATGATTTTTTTAAAGACATGAAAGTCCTGTATAAATCATTATGAAGATAAATAAAACTTATATAAATGGACAGAAACATCATGTTCAGAGATTTTAAGGCAAATTATTGTCAAGACATAAATTCTCCCTAAATTGATCAATGCATCGGAATCTTAAAAGGATTTTAAGATTTATATGGACATGCCAAAAACCTAGAATGGCTAAAACAATTCTGATACAAACTTATTGACAAACACTACCTAACTTCTGGGTGTGCTATAAATCTATAACAAGAAGACCGCATGATACTGGCACAAGGTAGATGTATAGATGAATGGAACAGTCATACACAGTAAATTGATTTTCAGCAAAGGAACCAGAACAATTCAATGGGGAAAGAAAAATGTCCTCAACAAATACTAGAACAACTTCCAGAAAAAAAATGAATTGTTGATCCCTACCCCTTATCACAAACAAAAATTAATTTCAGATGGATTACAATCTTAGTGAAAAAGCTAAAACACTAAAGTATGTAGAGAATACACATACATTTAAAGAACCAATAATACATATGTAAAACTGTGGAGAAAGATCCCATCAAGACATTAAGAGCAGCTCCTTTCTGGGGCTGAGATTTCAAGGGGTTTGCATTTTTCTTAAAATTTTGTTTCTTTATCTGATCTCCATTCTTTCATTTCTTTACGATGGTCATTTGTAATAAAGGGACATAAAATGCTCACGTGAGGTTGGCATCCTTCAGGAACAAATGCCACCTGGAGAGACGCAGCAGGGAGCAGCGCAGCCTGAGAGAGGCCGGTGCCATGACACCTCCTCCAAGGGAGAGACACGAGGCTGCTTCTCCCTGACGTCCTGCAACCCATTAACCCTGTTCTACGGGAAACAGCACAGTGGGAACGCCTGACAGCCTCCTTCCAAAACCAGGTGACTGAAGCAGGTAACTGCGCTACTTGCCAAGACGCACTTCAGTCAAAATCCTCCCAGCACCTTCATCTCTCACCTGAACGCTGAAGGAAGGCTTTCCAGTTAAAGGCAGTGTTCGGTGCTGTTGCAATTCCTGGGTCAGAGGGACGAGAGAAAGAGAAAGGTCACATGGATGGGCCAGACCCAGCTGTTTGGTGTTGACATTGCAATACTGGTCCTCCTCCATGCTTGTAAAGGAGTTGGGGCTCTGAGTGTGTCATGAATCCCCATTACCCTCAGCAACTGGGGGCTGCGGAGCCCACGGGATCCCCCTGGGAAGAGCCACCACTTTCAGTCCACCACCCATTCCTGGGCCAGATGGCCACTAAGTCCTGCTTCTGAAACATTCCCAACAAAACACTTACCAGATCCGTGTAGACATTATGCCTTTGTTTATAACTCCTAATCTCTACCCTCCCTGAGTCGTACCTGACTGCCTGCTATCTGCATCATTTCCTTGGACAGATTTAAGTTTAAACTTCTCTGAAAAACTGGACATTTTAAGATCTGGAAAACTCAGCAGCAGAAGGTAACAGATTATCTTAATAATGGAAAACATTTGAAATTTTTGAAATGTAAGTTAGGCTGCCTGACCACCTATTGGGTCCACCTTGGAGGTAGATGGTCATCCCCACTGAACAAGACGGGCTGGCTACCTGACTGGCACCCACTCGGCAGGTGCATCCACACAATCCCAGGAATCTGAATGCCCTGGGGAGCAGGCTGACCCTTCTAGTTTACCTGGCTGGAAACTGAGATTCCAAGAGGCTAAACAGTGTTCAAAGTGATGCAGCGTGTGGGCAACAGAGACCACATTCAAATCCAAGTGCTGCTTTAACACCCATGTTTTTTCTGCTGTGCCAGTGTTTTCACTGGACAGGGGAGCACCAGCCCTGCACCTGCGCAGACACACACCTTTCATATACACCAAATCAGTGCATCTTTTTAAAAATGGAGGCTCCAAGAAAGGGTTTATCTGCTAAGCGGCCACCGAGACCACCAGAGCATCTGTGCGTGACAAAGGATGCGCAGCTCAGGTGGGCCTGCGGGGGCCGTGTGCCCTTGGCGTCCAGCACTGTGGAAGACCCCTCAGGAGGCGCAGACTCAGGACTTCGGCCTCAGCCCCTGGTCCCATCTGCACCTGGAATCAGCCACACTGTGGTGCTGCTTGTTCCCTGACTTCTATTGCTTGCAATAGCACGGCAGTTTACTGGCTGTGCTTAGGAGATCCCGAGGGCTTCAGTGAGGGCGTGAGAGGCCACTACCATCAGAGCAGGTCTGGGTGAGCGGCGGGAAGGGCTGGAGATGCAGGCAGGGCAGGTACAGACGCCCCCCTGCTCACCTCAACCACAGCAGCTCACCCTTTCCTGTTTTCCATACCGCTGACAGAGCATATTGTTTCTACTGATCAACATATTACAGGGTCTGCATTTCAAATTATTCTTTCATGATGCTCTCCTATTTATCATTCATCTTAATGCTAGAAAATAATCAAAGTATATCCGTTCTACAAAGTATTTTTTAAGTAAATCTCAGACATCACATTATTTCATCCATAAACATTTGGGTTCATGACTCTGAAAGATAAGGACTCATTTAAAATATCTATTTTTGAATTACTTCAAAATTCTTACCTTGACTCTGGACATAGATCTTACCCTTAGCATGTGGCTTTTGAAAAAGAAAGAAGAAAAGAAAAAAAAAGTAAGCTTGACAGTCTATTACAGTTGCTTTTCAGAAATAAAATGAAGGCCATAGAAAAATCCTCTTGGAAAACATCACAAATTAAGATTCAAACCATCTACATAGCTGCTCACAAACATGTTATTGATCAGGGCAAGGAGCTACTCTGCTTTTAATGGGGGTTAGCCCATTAAAAATATAGCATCTAGTAGGTAAGGAGCACAAAGAAATCCTTAAATTAGGTGCAATGCAGTATTACAATTTAACAGCTACTAAGTTAGTAAAAAAGTTACTGAAGCTCAGACATCAAGACAGCAGCACAGCCCATCTGGGGCACAATGGGTGCTAAAGCTGAAGGTGCTAGTTTTGGGGATCATGGTTTGGGGACACAAATTCTTGGATGGAAAGAGTACATTTCTCCAACTTAGGAGAAGAAAGGAGGAGAAAGAAGAGGAGACCCCAGTGGAGGATTCTTGTAGGTAGGTGTAGGCTGGCCACAGGGACCCTGTGAGGATCTCCCCAAAGGCATCTTTGACACCAAGGGGCAAGGGGATCTTGATTTTGTGCCAAGATACAAACGTGCTATTCATGGTGGTGTTTTTCTGTTGGAATTTCGCCAAAACACTAGAGGAAAAAAAGAATCTAGCTCTTGAGACCATTTAAAATCAAGGTTAGCCACAAAGGTGGAAGTAACAGGAGTAGAGCAGGAAATCCACTTTCAAGTGGCTGCAGTGGCAATTAGGCGCCAACAGATGCTTCTCCCAAGGGACCAAGAGATAAAGCCATTTTGGTAAAAGAATTCCAAAAAGAGGCACCTACATGTTGTATGAACTGAACATCCAATCAGTGCATGAAACGGCTAACCTGGTTAATGAGTGGCCATCACAGAAATCGCATCTCTGGGCTGGTTCCCCATGCACGTGGGTGATGGGTACGGGGTGGGCCGTAAGGTGACCGATGGTATTGTATGTGGTCTGCTGATCCACTCTGACCTCTATCCTCAAATTGGTTTTCTGTTTTGGGAAATAAGCTAAAGGGGAAGCAGTCCTGGTTGGGGGACAGACCACTGTAGGGGAGAAAAGGTAAATGGCCCTGCCCTCTGTCTGGCTGATTGAAGCTTCAGGGAGGGGCAGCATCTGGCTACCTTAGGATGTGGAAGGGAAGTTGGAACATAGATATGAGTGTTGGTTTGGTTCTAGAAGTCTTGGCCACTCTCCACAATCCATCAGAAAAAGGGATGCACCTCCTTTTTAAAATGCTCCTAAAATAGTAAGTCATAAAAAAAAAAAAGCTTCAAAATTCTCTTCTGTACTAGTTAAGAAAAGGTTAACTTTAATGGAAAAAAATGGCTAATAGTAACCATTGGAAATTAGATATTAAAGTTCAGAGTCCTAAAATATCCCTTGTGCTTAATGATAATTTCACTGGAAAGCTGAAGAATATTTTATTGGAACACAGAGCAGGCTCAGAGCCTGCTTCCTTAGCAGCCCTAAGTCTGAAACATGGGCTTGGAAAATGCCTACAGGAAGGATATCAAAGCACTGTCAAAAATACACCAGCATGGCATTTAAACTTTAAAGTTAATGCCAGTGTTTGACAAAAGCTGATTCAATGTAATTCTACATAAATTCGATTCATGAAGGTAGGGCAAAGTGGGGTTCGTCTTGCCACTATTTTCATTAGAAATATGTTCTACAATTACAAATAGATAAGTCCAAAAGCTCCTTTCAAGAAAATGCCTCTGATACAAACAAAACTTAATTAAAATGGATAACTCAATTTTATAAACAGAATGAACTGACTCTATGTAGAAACTTCTGGATTTATCTGCTGGTCTTTACATATCTCTGCACATTATTTTCCTCAAGTCTCTTGAAATGCTGAAAAAATAATTATCAAGTCCTAGACAGACTTTTAAAGCATGTCAGAAGTGATATTTTCAGATCTAATTCAAGAAAATCAAGAAAATGGAGTTACAAGCATAAAAGAAATCTGGAGCTGTGTTATTTTTAATCATCGTAATAAAAGAAATCTGGTAAAAGCCAATTGGCTCATATTGATTTTGAAAAACATTTTCTACGTTAAAATGTTCTAAGTACAAATTAGCTTTTTCTGCTCAATATTTATTGTTGTTTCACTTGCCTTAAAATAACGTGAGTCAACATCCTTGTGTATCACTTTCCTTGCAAGATTAGCTCGTTGCATAAAATGAAAAGGAAGACTCTGTGCGTATGTGTGTAGAGAGAGGGCATCATTGCCCATTTTTAATGTCCAAGAGAAACCATTAGTTAGTCTGGCCTGCTACTAGATATAAAAAGCCAGTGTCCTATTAGACAGATATGTATACAACAAAAGATTTCCCATTCTTTGATTAATATAACTTTCTGAAATTAAACTTTAGGCAAGTGGAAACCACAATATTATTTTTGAATTATGGGCACAACTTCATGCTTTACAGGTGGCAGAAATATCCATTTTCATTTTGAAATTACAATACAACTTCTGATGATGGCTTCTTTAAAAGTACTTTGCAAAGCCCCTTCCACATTGCTTAAAAGAAATTATGGTCCATAATTGAGTGAGTGTAAATCTCTAAAAATATACCATCACAAAATGCAAAGAAATTGGGCACTTTTCAGGGGACCCAGGTCTCTTTTATATTCTCTCTTTTTTCCCTTAGAAATCTGTTTTTAAGCAAAGAAAGAAACTAATGCACCAAAAGATAGAGAGAGAGAGAGAGAGAGAGAGAGAGAGAGAGAGAGAGAGAGAGCGCACAGCCTTGCCACTGAACTCCTGCAAATGAACCAAGGAAGGTTTTTCAAGAAAAGGAAATATTTATGAATAAGATGAGGAGGAAATCTGAAAACTGTCTTGGGGTCCAGTTCTACAGGATCCAATGTGCAGCAGGCCTTAAAGATGAAACTGAAATGATACATCATCTGGACAACTCAAGGGATGAGTGTGTAACCCCTAATCTAGTCTAGTGACTCAATTAGTACGAACACCAACAGGATAATTCCAGGGAAGTGTTTTTTTAACAGTTAAATCTATGGAGGCAGTAACTCAGAATTGCTCCTGAGTGTATTCAAAAGCTCTCCTATCACCCTCAGCCTTAGTGACTTGATGACTTAGAAGCCATGCTTTTGATCATCCTAAATATTTGAGCCCCATGTCATGGGAAAGTTAAACTCAGGATCTATGCTCTGGAATCAATGAGTTTTCCATTCTTTAAGTTACTTTTAAACTTTCTCAGTTCATAGGGATCTCATATGGGGGAAAAAAAGCAAAGAACATTTGCAATTCCATCAAGAAATCTCTGAGGAAAGCCAGTCTTAATAGAAGTTATTAAAAATGATTAGCTTCCTAGGATATGATCAATCCCTGGGGCTCTCCCTGCAGGGTATATGTGGGGCAGGGCAGCAAGCAAATGAGGGAGACAAAAGATGAAGCAGCCAAGATAGATGCTTTGAAGTTCCCACTCTGGTAGGAACTATAAGAAAAGACGTGGTCTGGGAGAGGGCACAATGGGTGCTAAAGCTGAAGGTGCTAGTTTTGGGGATCATGGTTTGGGGACACAAATTCTTGGATGGAAAGAGTACATTTCTCCAACTTAGGAGAAGAAAGGAGGAGAAAGAAGAGGAGACCCCAGTGGAGGATTCTTGTAGGCAGGTGTAGGCTGGCCACAGGGACCCTGTGAGGATCTCCCCAAAGGCATCTTTGACACCAAGGGGCAAGGGGATCTTGATTTTGTGCCAAGATACAAACGTGCTATTCATGGTGGTGTTTTTCTGTTGGAATTTCGCCAAAACACTAGAGGAAAAAAAGAATCTAGCTCTTGAGACCATTTAAAATCAAGGTTAGCCACAAAGGTGGAAGTAACAGGAGTAGAGCAGGAAATCCACTTTCAAGTGGCTGCAGTGGCAATTAGGCGCCAACAGATGCTTCTCCCAAGGGACCAAGAGATAAAGCCATTTTGGTAAAAGAATTCCAAAAAGAGGCACCTACATGTTGTATGAACTGAACATCCAATCAGTGCATGAAACGGCTAACCTGGTTAATGAGTGGCCATCACATAAATCGCATCTCTGGGCTGGTTCCCCATGCACGTGGGTGATGGGTACGGGGTGGGCCGTAAGGTGACCGATGGTATTGTATGTGGTCTGCTGATCCACTCTGACCTCTATCCTCAAATTGGTTTTCTGTTTTGGGAAATAAGCTAAAGGGGAAGCAGTCCTGGTTGGGGGACAGACCACTGTAGGGGAGAAAAGGTAAATGGCCCTGCCCTCTGTCTGGCTGATTGAAGCTTCAGGGAGGGGCAGCATCTGGCTACCTTAGGATGTGGAAGGGAAGTTGGAACATAGACATGAGTGTTGGTTTGGTTCTAGAAGTCTTGGCCACTCTCCACAATCCATCAGAAAAAGGGATGCACCTCCTTTTTAAAATGCTCCTAAAATAGTAAGTCATAAAAAAAAAAAAGCTTCAAAATTCTCTTCTGTACTAGTTAAGAAAAGGTTAACTTTAATGGAAAAAAATGGCTAATAGTAACCATTGGAAATTAGATATTAAAGTTCAGAGTCCTAAAATATCCCTTGTGCTTAATGATAATTTCACTGGAAAGCTGAAGAATATTTTATTGGAACACAGAGCAGGCTCAGAGCCTGCTTCCTTAGCAGCCCTAAGTCTGAAACATGGGCTTGGAAAATGCCTACAGGAAGGATATCAAAGCACTGTCAAAAATACACCAGCATGGCATTTAAACTTTAAAGTTAATGCCAGTGTTTGACAAAAGCTGATTCAATGTAATTCTACATAAATTCGATTCATGAAGGTAGGGCAAAGTGGGGTTCGTCTTGCCACTATTTTCATTAGAAATATGTTCTACAATTACAAATAGATAAGTCCAAAAGCTCCTTTCAAGAAAATGCCTCTGATACAAACAAAACTTAATTAAAATGGATAACTCAATTTTATAAACAGAATGAACTGAC